TTATTTTGTAGAAGCGAGGAGGGAAAATCCCAAATAATCAAGTAAAATGTATGTAACACCTCCTCGATCAACCAACACGCGGTATTTCGAGCCGCCATTGCTTGAGATTCGACATTTCATGGAAGATGAATGAAGTCATTATGATATCCCAAACGCAAATGAAATTGATCACATACAAAGTACCTCATTGATCACATACAAAGTACCCCATTGACGAACGGAACATTTTGGTATATAAACGAATTGGGTCCAATCAACTTATTTTGACCTCTACTTCAAGTAGAGCAATTTTGGGACACCCTATATATAATCTATAACTGAAGTCATGTGAGGGATTTGAACACAATTGACAATAAGAAATCACTAGATTCGAAAACTCTTGGGGAGTAGGTTTCCCGAAACGAAATAGCGATATACAAATGCTACAAGTTCTGTATTTATATTATCTACTATTTAATTGGAGAATCAAATTGAAAGGTATACACTTCTGATCCGAATCTCAGACCATGACTATAGAAAAGTTTGAAAGTTTGATGTTTTTCTCCAATATTTATATGTTCAGAAATGGACATACAATGATTCCATTTCTGCCTTATAGAATCTCCGAGAATAGATTCACCTATTATACATAGAAACATCGTTATATTCACATGTCTGATGTTTTGTTATATAATTTTTCAACAAAAAGAATGATATATACTTCTTTATCTTGATACAATCAAATTATCATGTCAATATCTTCCTGATTCGGATCAAACAGATTATCAAACACAAATACTACAATGTACGAACCTATCTCAGCCCTCTAGAATTCTTCATAAAACGTTTGAATCAGATTTGAGTAGGTATAGCAAGGAATTTCTATCGATTCAACTTGGCAACAATGCGCTACCGCTTGTTCCGAGTCTCCACGCGTCTCACACATTCTGGTATATTGACGGTCTGTCGATGTACGGTTCTGATGTTTTACGGGTCTGTCAATGTACGGTTCTGCCATTTTACGGTTCTGCTATTTCACGGGTCTTAATCCAAAAAATTCTGAAATTTTACGGGTTTGGTAGCTGCACGATTCTGCCATTGTACGAGTCTGTCATTTTACGATTCTGCTGTTTTACGGGTCTGTCGTTTTACGGTTTTGATGAATTATGGATCGGAAATTCCGGTAGTCCGATGGATTATGAGTCTGTCGATGTACGGTTCTTGCATTTTACGGATCTAGAGTATTGGCAGTCTGTGCTTTTACGAGTCTGTCATTGTACGGATCTTTCATTTTACGGGTATCAAAAATCGACAGTCTGTCTTTTTACGGGTATGAACTTTTCGCATTCTGCCATTTTCAGATTCTGTACATCACAATTCTGCCAGTTTGCTGGTCGGGAATGTTCATTCTGATGAAATGGTGGTCTACAGAGTACGGGTCGCTGAATTACAGTCTGTGCTTTTACGGTTCTATGACTTTACGATTATATATTTTTATGATTCTGACGACATGGAGAGTATTTTATTTACTGGTTTGGCAAAGTACACTTCTGAATATATGGCAGTCTTTCGATATACTATTGTGATTTATGCATTCTGACATAATGCAGTCTGTCAAAGTACGGTTCGACAAATTACGGGTTGTACATATTGCAGTCGCTGAAATATAGTTCTGATGATTTGCTATTCTGATTTCTTACTATTCTAGTCAAATAAATTCCTACTAATCGACGGTCTGTGTCGATACGTTCTGATGATGTATATGGACCCATTCACTTAACTTATCAACTTACCCACCCTCTGTATTCATAAACATTCTATTGAATGAATCGATCTATTGGTGATATTTCGGTAGGGTAAATATATACAATTACGTACCAAAATAGAAATATAATAATACATTTTTCCATTCCCACTTTAATTAGAAAGAACGTCCAAAATTGAATTCCTAGTCATTATGGGATAATTGCCTTGGAAACTAGATGGGGAAAGTAATATTTATCATTGTTACACCTGTTCGCGATAACTTGCACAGTAATGCATATACAGTTTGGCCAAGATAAGGCATTCGGTTCTCGGAAACGGAAAGAGGAATGATTTCGGTAGATTGGGAAAAAAAGTTGCACATTTCTACCCAAACCGATTTTCTATACGACTCGACACGTGTTTCGCTAACAATGTGAGAAACTTCAGGAGAAGATTGAAATCGAATATTTTATTTGTTCGTCCTACTTATATACTAGGTTCATGTCCACCCAACCGTGAAAGACACAAACCACCAAGTTAATGTTTGTCATGGTTGAGTTCACATATTCACCTTAATCTTATATCACTAAACTATAGAGAGGGCTATATGGAATAGGTCCATTATCTTTATCAATTACTTCATTACTTTTTCAAATATCTTCACGGTATGCGATGTTTTGTATCCATAGAATGGTCATCAACTTTTTTTTAATACGGTCTTGGTTATGTGGCCACAGATCAAAACGACTTTTTTCATTCTCGATCCGACCATGTATTATACTCGAGGTGGTTCGAATATGTATCGACCTAGTTTCAGCCATCTATACGATGTTTCTAAAATTTCAAAGAGGAATTATCATCAGTTCCACTCATTTCTCATTTATTCATTCAGCGTCAAACATTGACGAAATAGTTATTTAAACCTGAAAAGTAGAAGAAATATATTATAAATTATTCAATGATCCTCACACGAATTGTCTAGATAACTAAACTCATTTTACAATCCCTTGGCCGGTGCGATCGCCTGTTTGGACACCGCTAGATTTTTTTTTGGGATACGTTGAAAACTGTTTATATACGCAAAGAATTTTGATAATGAAGAAGAGCTATGGAACATTGTTATCGAAGCATTCAATAGTATTACCCCAGAAATGGGGAGAGGATACCTTTGTTCAGAAAATAATGAATATACTTTGGAACATTTGTTATGAATGTTTTTTTATATCAAATTACTGTTCGTGTTGTCAAAGTTTAGTTATCAAGGTAATTCGTGTAGGAATCCATTGAGATGGAGCGTCGCATTGAATAATTTAGTGAAATTATTTGTTCACTTTTCAGTAATAAATAACTAAATCAATGTCAAACGACGAATGATCAGAATTGAGTGGAACTGATGGTATTTTTCTTTTGGAATTTCGAAGAAATATTAATGACGTTTGAAACTAGGTCGAAACATATTCAAACCACCTTGTATAATACCCGGTTGAATTCGAAATAAAAGAAGATTCCAGAATCTGTGAACAAATAATCTGGACCATTTTTGAAAAAAAAAAAATATGATGGTCAGATGAAAATGAAACGTCTCGAAATAAAATCAATGTCATCACGTTGAATCTCATCGGAACTTGGTATGGAAACGTATTCTCAGTCTTCCTGTATCTCTGATAATAACATTGGAACAAAATCCAATGATTAACTCTTTTCGATATAACTGAAAAACTAAAATCAATTTTGGAAATTTCCGAGAGACGTTGGTCCTAATGCGCAACATTTTTCCTTTTTAACCCAATTCGTATCTCCTCCCCCTTTCCAAGATTCCCATGCTGTGACACCTTATCTTGGTAACACCATCATTACTGTGGTGATATTTCTTATTTCATAACCATTCTGTTATGTGCACAAAAATAGTATATTGTTTAACGAGCACGAAATGATAGTGATTTCCTACGAGAATGAAGTTTGCAGCATGAGCCATAGGCGAATGCAGCAATCATTCGAGCAGGAAATTAGCATTCTGTGCAAGTTATACACTGTAATTTTTCTACGGCTGTGACAGATAACAGCGACATTTTCGATTTCTTTGGCTCGTAGTCATCTGATTTCCAGTCAAGTAATGCTCATTCATTAGACAGAGCTGTTATTGCTTTCAATTTGGCATTCCATGGGCGATGGGATTTTTTCGAAATGATAACACAATGATATCAGATACGGAAATAAAATTGATGACATACAAAGTACTTCATTGATGTATCGAACACTGTGAAACAAGAGCAATTTTGTGTTATAGCCGGAGAAAAGAAGTATATTGTTCAACGAGCACGGAATGATTGTGATTTCCTACGGGAATGAAGTTTACAGTATGAGCCATAGGCGAATTCTGCAATCATTCGAGCAGGAAATTAGCATTCTGTGCAAATTATACACTATAATTTTTCTACGGCTATGATAGATAACAGCGGCATTTTAAATTTCTTCGTTTTGTAGCCATATGATCTCCTGTCAAGTAATGCTCATCTATTAGACAGAGCTGTCATTGCTTGAAATTTGACATTCTATGAGCGATGAGATTTTTTTTGAAATAATAACACAATGGAGTCATTGTGATATCAGATTCGGAAATAAAATTGATGACATACAAAGTACTTCATTGATGTATCGAACACGATACATCAACATTGCATCGAACGAAACAAAGATTTGAAGCTGATATTATTATTTTCTAGAGAAAATCATATTTTTGTGAATAATCAGTGATTGAAAGAACAAGCCTGATGAGGCCACTGGTATGGAACAGTTTTTTTTAACAGTTTCGAATACTTTCAATTTATAGAAACGAGGAGAGAAAATCCCAAAGAATCAAGTAAAATGAATTTCGTCAATGTTAATTTTTTTCAATCACAAACATTTCTTACAATGGAACTGGCAATACGAGACAAATGTGTCAAATTGGAATGGAAACAACTCTTCTCAGAGAACTTTCTTAGAGTTTCAAACAAAAATGAGCAAATAATTTGAACAAATGTAAATTTTGGCATGAAACGAAAGTAATGTGACCAGGAGGCATTTTTTTTCAAGCGAAACCTGATGCCCAAATCCGATTTTCAAATAACTCATTAATGAAGGTTTTTTCCATATGATGCCAACTTCATGAGATACACTGTATAGTTTCGCGATCGTTAGTTAATAGTTTGGCGGAGCGATGTGAAATTCAGTCGCCTATATTCCAATCTATATATTACATAAATCAAATTGATGTTTGTATATTTTTGTCGTAGATCTTCACTGTGGTGGCGATCATGTCGTGTGATAAGCTGGAGAAAAGCGGTCTGAAGGTCTTGGAAACCTGCCACTATCTGCAAACCACCGTCGAAGACGATTTTGCAAGAAAAGAACTTGCCAATCTCGCAGATTTTATCAAGGCACTCCTGCCAACTATTAGTGCTGCAGGATTTTTCAAGATAAACCAACGTCTGTTGCCAGCGTTCCTCTCAGCTTTGACTTCGTATGTTATCATCATTATCCAATTCGAAATGTGAATTGGCCAATGCGAGAGGATGGAACAGAACATTACGGACTGGATCTGAATTCCTTCGGCAATGGTTTGTTCTCATAATTTGGTGTGAGGGTATCTGAGCCCTCATCGTAGATGTGTGGAGTGTGTTTCGATTCATTTCTATTCACCAGGTGTTCTCCAATTAGATGTTGATATGTACAGACATTTCTTATATTTGATGAATTCTCAAGATACAGGGAGTTGAGATTGAAAATGAAATTGCATTTCTTTTTCTTATAGCAAAGAGTTTCGGAGAACATATAGAGAATCTAGTCTAATGAAAAAAACTTTCTAGCAGAAAAAAAAATGTTAAGATAATTCACTGATTCTTCTGTTATTTAATTATACGAATATAGAAATACAATTGTGCCTCGTGACAAACCCTCAGAGGAGAAAGGAAAAAGTTAGCATGATAATACACTGAGAGAAACTGGATATTAAAAATATCTACCAGCTCTGATTGTAATAACCATTATAAGGAAATCTCCTATCCCTGATCATTTTATCATTACAACAGTATTCTCTCCATTCTGTAATTATAAAAATCGATTTCTTAAATCATTTGTAATACCCTTGAATGGACATTAGCTACCTTCATAACGCAGGTGTGTTATGACATTATGAGAATTTTATAAATTCCAGTCTATTCAGATTTTTCATTGACATAGCTCGTTTTGTGAATTATGCTCATTGGCGAATTCAGATAATGTTTGTCCCAATAATCATAGCTGTTTGGGTTTCTAGCATTGTACGTTGACGAATAACTCTAGCAATTCACATGTACGACGGTTATTAGGCAATCATTCGACAATCGTAATTCGGCTCATTTCGCTCTAGTGTTTCATTAGTATTGAGGCTGTCAAAGATACAGATCGCGTTCATTTCTCTGTTCTCGGTCATGGGTGCCCGTGTTCAATTATTGTTCAATGGTTTCGATCGTCCGAATCGAAAGAGCCGTGTCTTGTTGGTGAATGTCTGTGATGTAGCAAAGTTTTGTTTTAGTGCTGGCTGTGAACCGATCTGTGGAATACACCGTGCATTGCATTATTGCAATGAAAAAAGTATTCTCCATACCCACTTTTCAAGGCCTAAAATTGTTTTATTTCAAAAACAAAATGATCCATGAGATTCTGAATCAAAATATCTGGGTTTCTGTGAGGGAAGTTTTATTGACAATTCTCATCATAACTCCGAAGGAAGGGTAAATATATGTATTCAACTTCTCATTTCTTAATGAATTCGTCAGTAATGCATATAGATGATATTTCTCCGAAAAAATCAATGAGTGATTTCAAAAAACTCCCACAGATACCCCAATATTTCAATTCAGAGACTAAACGTATTTTTTTGTTTTTTTGAAAACAATAACTTTGGATCATGAAAAGTGATAGTGTGGATAGGATATTTATTTTCATTGCAGTAATTCAAAGCACGGTTTCATAATGCATACCATCGAATAATGTTGATTAGATAACCTTATTACCACTGTTTGATGAATATACTAGAGTAGAAAAATATTGGGATAACTGTTGAAAATGAGCTACATTACAATAGCATGTCGAAATGTCAGGTTTCATGCAGATATCAGATAACTATAATAAAATGAGACGAATTACTGCGTTACCTCAAGATGGTTGTGCCAGTAGTAAAAACATGCTGTTTTATGTCGATAGTCTAATAACCACTGTAGAGTGGAGAGTTACTGCAACATTTTATGGGAATAATTCCTATTCCACTTTCTGTGTTATCATAGAAACTAGAACAAGTAGTAGTTATTCAGCAGCGGTGTTTTTATACAACTTTGCAAATTGAATAAGCTGCCATAATTACAAGTCACCTGGAAATTCACTTCATCTATGGTAGCACATGAACACATCTGTCCCCTTTTTATTGCAGATATCGTAATAACGGTTATCAGATTTCCAATTATGATAACTCAAGTTTTCTCTCAGTGTAACATTATTGATCTAGTTGAATAGAATGGCGACCGTTGAATATGATTTCTGGTGTTGAGTTGGCGGGAATTCGGTCGAAATGTTGAAGAAAACCAATTTTCAAATTGTCGACGTTTCGAAACTCCACTCTTTCATCTTCAGGACACTGAAGTAAGAACATGTAGCAGGTCTCACACCCCAACTACGCAAGGTTTTGGAGAATGAAAATCTCAAAGTCAGCATGAAATGTGAAAACACTGTTAAAAATCATTTCTTCACGAGACTCAAAACAAAAACACCAAAAGATCTGAAATCAAATATCATTTACAAAATACCATCTGTTGAGTGTGAGAAAGTGTATATAGGACAAACTGGAAGGTATCTACAACAAAGGATGACTGAACACATCAGAGATTGTAAAAATATACACAATCCGCTGAAAACAATGAAAAATCCCACTAGCCTGGCAGAACATCGCAAGTCATCACTCCATACTTTTGACTTCAATTCTGTTAGTATAATAGGACAACAGACAATATTGAAAAAAAGACTCTTGAACGAAATGATTGAAATAACAAGCCATGGAACAAAATGTGTTAACAAAAGATCGGATATTGGGAATTTACACACCTCATATTTCAATTTAATGGAAAAAATCAAACAATAATTCCGAATCATCAGCAGGCGACTTTTTCCAATCCCGATTATTATCTCTTTCACGAGCCTTTTTCGCAATACACTGAGAGAAACTGGATATTGAAAATATCTACCAGCTCTGATTGTAATAACCGTTATAAAAAATTCTCCTATTCCTGATCACTTTATCATTACAACAGTATTCTCTCCATTCTGTGATTATAAAAATCGCTTTCTTAAACCATTTGTAATACCTTCGAATGGACATTTGCTACCATCGTAACGCAGGTGTGTCATGATATGAGAATTTTATAAATTCTAGTCTATTTAGATTTTTTATTGACATAGTTCGTTTCGTGAATTATGCTTATTGGTGAATTCAGATAATGTTCGTCCCAATAATCATAGCTGTTTGGGTTTCTAGCATTGTACGTTGACGAATAACTATAGCAATTCACATGTATGACGGTTATTAGACAATCATTCGACAATCGTAATTCGGCTCATTTCGCTCTAATTTTTCATTAGTTTTGGGGCTGAAAACGCTACAGGTCGCGTTCATTTTCACTCCTGTTCTCGGTCATGGGTGCCTGTCTTCAATTATTCAATTATTGTTCAATGGTTTCTTCCGTCCGAATCGATAGAGTCGTGTCTTGTGGGTGAATGTGTTTGATGTAGCAAAATTCTGTTTTATTGCTGACTGTGAACCGAGCTGTGGAATACACCGTGCATTGCATTACTACAATGAAAAAAGTATTCTCCATACCCAATTTTCACGACCTAAAATTGGTTTATTTCGAAAAACAAAATGATCGATGAGATTCTGAATGGAAATATCTGGGTTTCTGTGAGGAAGTTTTATTGACAATTCTCATCATAACTCCGAAGGAAGAGTAAATAAAAGTATTCAACTCCTCATTTCTTAATAAATTCGTCAGTATGCATATAAATGATATTTCTTCGAGAAAATCAATGAGTAATGTCAGAAAAACTTCCAGAGAAACCCAGATATTTCAATTCAGAGACTAATCGTATTTTTTCTTTTTTGAAAAAAATAACTTTGGATCATGAAAAGTAAGTGTGGATAGAATATTTATTTCCATTGCAGTAATTCAAAGCACGATTCCATAATGCATATCATCGAAAAATTATGATTAGATATTACCACTGTTTGATGAACATACTAGAGTAGAAAAATATTGGGATAACTGTTGAAAATGAGCTATATTACAATAGCATCTCACAGTGTCAGGTTTCATTCAGATATCAGATAACTATAATAAAATTAGACGAATTACTGCGTTACCTCAAGATGGTTGTGCCAGTAATGCAAACAGGCTGTTTTATGATGATAGTCGAATAATCACTGTAGAATGGATTAGTTACTGTAACATTTATTTAAGAATAATCTCTATTCGACACTCTGTGTTATCATAGAAACTAGAACGAGTGGTAGTTATTCAGCGGCGGTGTTTATACAAGTTTGCAAATTGAATATGCTGCCATAACTACAAACTCCCTGAAAATTCACTTCATCTATGGTAGCAAATGAACACATCTGTCCCCTATTTATTGCAGATATCGTAACAACGGTTATCAGATTTCCAATTATGATAACTCAAGTTTTCTCTCAGTGATAAAGAAACGATTCAACGACAGTTCAGTTTGTTCATTCCTTCATATGTTCGTGTCTGTGTTATGGTATTTCATGTACCTGTGTGTACGTCGATTTAATTTATTCCACTATTTTTAAACCCGGAAAGCCACCCTAAATGTAAGTATCTATCAATGTTGTTTTCTGTAAAGTGTGATAAGTGTTTTATTTTCAACGACTTATTTTGCTTTTATCAAAACCCCCCATTTTAAAATATCATTTCAATATGTATGTTCTTGTTTTTACTTCAGTGTTCTGAAGATGATCCGAAACAATAAAGTTTCGAAACGTCGACAATTCAAAAATTGGTTTTCTTCAACATTTCGACCGGATTCCTGCCAACTCAACACCAGAAATCATTGATCTAGCTAGAGGAACGGTCAGCCAATTTATGTGGTATAAGTTGCCGAAGAAAACAGTCAGAGACAGAGAAAAACTAAATCATTCTTTGACAATGAAGGCACGAAGCTTCATAATTTCATGAACACACTCATAAAGAATCTTAGCCTCAACAATACTTACATTTTGAAAAGCAGTAGCCAAAGTGTTTCGATTTTCCAAACAAGATACGTTGTTTGGTCTGACAGCAGAGAGTATAGGACAAATAACTAAGATATGTTCAAGAGTTTGTTGTTCGTGCATAAACTATTTACCAGATGAAGTGGGACAGCCAAAAAATTGACTAATTTTGATAAGCTATAACTCGAACATTTCTTGGCCGATGTTGGATTTTCAACCAAAGGTAGAAAGCGTCATCCTTCGGCTATGCGTCATTGGCGTCGGGTTTTTATTTTTGCGATTCGTTCTCTTTGTACAGAGTGTGAAGTGTGAATTAAGAGCCGGAAAAATTTCAAATATTTGACCAATGATTTGGGAAATGTGAGGGACCCTAGAATTCTATTCCAGATGTTGGGTGAATGGTTGGTCCGATACCTCGAGACGTCTTTGAAATTTTTTGGATTAATTGCGTTGCTATGGAAAAATCGCCATTTTATGAAATTTCATTTTTAATTTAAAATGTGGCCTCTTTTAGTTAAACGATAACAGCCAAAATCTGAACTGCAACA